GACAATTGTCTGACCATGGTTATTAACTCCCAACATTGGTGCAAATGTCAAGTCGTATCGATTCGTGTTGAATGTGGTATCGAATACAACAACATCTCCATAAAACCCGTAAGCCCGTCTAGAAGTTGCATCTGCCCAAAAACATCGACTAAACCTGTTATCGCCATCTCCCTCAATCTTGAAATAAAAAGCCTCATTTTTTTTCTGTTCTGCCATAAAATACTCGGTCACTAGTTCAACATCGTGGTTCCTCAGCTTCCCATTCACACTACATTCAAGATTGTAGATATCTTTTCTGATAAAACCGATTTTATCCATTCCTCCGGACTGCACCTCGAAAATACTTACCTTCTGATTAATGGGAATATTAACTGAACCCAACTGTTTTGTGAGTACTTTTGTAGAATCTGAAATACAACGGTGTGATCTTAATAAATGTATTCTTTCTTAAGGTGTCATCTTATGATTGTGTCCCTCTGTAAAAAGAGAGATGATATACTTCTTGCTGCCATTTGCCTTCACAACCGCAATCTTAGCTTTGCAATTACATCTACTTATTCCCCGTTGTCTTTTTTTTCTCCCGAGTTTCATATTTTCTGTATGCACCTTGTTTGCAACATACAAATTCTTTCCTCAGAATCTCTTTCTTATTTTCCCCCCAAAAGCTGGAATGAAGTTGAATACCAAAGCCAGCCAAGAATGCATATCTATTATAGAAATTATAAACGAGGTCAAGCGAGTCGAACTTCATCCCAACTGCTGGTGTTTCCTCATTTCTTACTTCAGGAATGTAAACCCTCCCATTAGCTGTTACACATTCATCACTCTCTGAGGCCCCAGACATTTTATCCACGTATATTATTGATCTACTTCTATATTTCTGCATACCAAATATTAATTCATTAATCAATCATTCCTGCATCACAACATATCAATGCATTCCACTTACACAAACCATTGCCCAAATTGACACAAAACACGCATAACCTAGCTTGTTGGATTCCGATTACACAAAACTCAAGCAAAATTTAATAATAGTTACGTCATCTCTTGTGAAATAATCTGGAAAAAATAACATTAGAACCAACATGTTCAACTAAGAACACAAATGTAATTCAAACCAGCAATTATAGAACTTCACCCAATATCCTCTTCAAATGCTTACTCCTAATGCCATTAAGCCTAAGTTTAGGATCTTTTACCTACATTTCATAATTTTCCACACCCCCCCAAAAAAATCAACTAAGTATATTGAATATTCATAAGGAAATGATGTATTATTGATAGCAGAAATGACGCATTATTGATTCCACAAATGACACATTATTGATGCCACAAATGACGAATTTCCCACCCTCACAAAAAAACAAACCAAACCCAACAAAATCAATCCAGCAAGAGTGAACTTACCTCTCAAAGTCAATCGGGAGCTCCGAAGTCAGTCAGCTTGAGAGAATGTGGTGGACATTAGAGAAGATTCTTTGGTAGTGGAGACTCCATCTCTACCAAAATCGAGGAACAACTGCTGCTGCAGCGTCTAGCTACAGAAAGAGATATGCTACTTTGCTTTCATTTGGAATCTCGTCTGCTGAACGAAAAAGAGAAAGGGTTTTCACTTTAGCCATAGAATCAAAACAGGGCAATAGCTAGGTAAAAGCCATTAATCGTCATACCGAGGATACCATAGATCGCAGGCCTCCCAAGGAACTGATGACAATGGAGTAACTATAGGGTTTGGGAGCTTTGGATCTTTCTAATTGTGGGTTTGCATTACATTCAAAAAGAGAGGATTGTGTTATTGAGTTTTTCACAGAGAGAGAAAAATCTTCAACTGAAATTGGGTTTCCAACGGGTCAGATTTCAACCCGATTCTACATGCACCCTCTTTTAAAAACTCACCGTTGAATGAACATACTCTTACAGTCCCATATCACGATATTTTCCTGATATATCGCAATATGTTTGCCAGATCCTCTCCATCAATCTTTTTTTTTTGGTCGAACCTCTCCATCAATCATTTTCTAATTTTTTCCTCCTTCGTCTCTCCCTTTTTTTTTTTCCGTCTTCTTCCTCTCTGCCTCAGTCTCTCCCTCTGTCTCTCTTCTGGGCTCACAATTCTTTTCCCCAGGCCGTGATTTATTGTTTGCAGGGGGTCACTTGACCTCCTTGGCCCTACGTGGATTCGCCAGTGAACCTTGATACAACTTTTTTCAGATTTTCCTTTCCATAAATGCAAATACCCAGATGGAGAAACTTGTTTCTACTCAAGAATTCATTGATTTCATCAACTCCTACAGCAACCCGCTTCGCTTGGTTCCATTCTACTCCAACTTCATGCGAGAAGTGGAAGAACAAATGGTCCTTTGTGAGTTGCTGTTCTCTTTGATGATTTAATTTTTATTAGACTCTCCATGTCAAAGATTTGTTAAAATTGACTCTCCATGTCAAAGATTTGTTAAAATTGTATGCTTAATTCGTCTTTTAGTGGTATGCTTATGATATAAGTGGTGATTTGTTCGTCTTCTAAGGTTTCCAAATGATCCGGTCAGTGTCAGGTGTAGGTCAAATTTTAAGGTTTCTCCTACCTTTGCATTTTCTACCGAGAGACGTTTAAGGCATCTTGGTGTAATTTGATTGTGCAGATTGATTCATCTGTAACTTAATGTTTGTGATGCATATTTAGTTTTTTTTTTTTAATTATAAAGTTCTTTAGAATACTCGTCAATTAGATAAAATTTGAACTAACACGATTTTGCTTTCTATAAGAATGTTTGATGATTCAAATGTTTTTGCAGGATGTAAAAAGCAGTCAACAACCATCAAAGGTATTAATTCTGTGCTAATTTCGGAATTCTTATATAGAAAATACATGCCAATGATAGCAAGCAAAGGCAGCAAAAACTGACACTGCACACAGGGCTTTAATCTTTTTCCCCCTTTATGGTTTGCTTTCCACATGATAATCATACGTGGGAATTGTTAATTCTCGTGAGTGAAATTTGATTGGTTGTTTGTTTGGGAAAAAGTCCTAAGAGTTTAATAGAAAGCCAAGATAGGCAAATTAATTGTTACCAATACACAGATTGTAGGCGCTTCTCGAGTATGCAGAGACAGAACAGACATGCATGTTTAAAATTCGTATACACATGGAAGGAGGGATTTTGTTCGGTGACAAGTTTGAAAAAAGATGCTCCACAAACCATTATGGGACATAAGATTTGTTGTTAATTATTGCGTAGCATACTTAGGAGTTTAAGAAAACTGCCGGTTTTGCAACAAGTTTCCGCCTCAAATGGAAAGTTTAGCTCCAAGCAAATGAAAAAGTCTTGAGAGAGAGAGAGAGAGAGAGATAGAGAGAGAGAGAGAGAGAGAGATAGAGAGAGAGAGAGAGAGAGAGATCTTGGATGCTCTGGTGCTCCCACTCCTGGTTGTAGTCTCCCTTTCTGGGCCATTTCCAGTCTTAAAACAAATGCAAATTGGATGCTAGCTGGAGTGAGTATCGTAATATGTAATATTAATAAATTTTGGTGCTGCTGTAATATTTGATGGCCTACTTTGCTGTCATCTGATGTTTCCAAACTATATATTCTTCAGTTCTATTGCTTTTTATTGCCAAGTTCATTGTAGCTTGAAAAGCTATTATTTCCATTCATCTTCCCTGCTTCAAATTGCATTTCAGCCCTGTTCGGCAACATGTTTGCTTTTCAATAAGCAGATGCATTCTTATCTTGTGTTATCCTTTTCACCCCGTGCCAATATCTAGACACTGCAGTCTTTTTTTATTCATATTTTCTTTTAAATGTTTTTTAAATCCCTGGTTGGTCTTTAACCTGCTAAATGTCTATTAGCTATCAAGCCTTTTCATTCACATGTTCTAGAGTATAATCTGAATTCCAAGTCAAACAGGCTGTCCAGAGGGAAAGATAAATAAATTTAGATGTGGCTTTTATATTCTCTTATTTCTTGCAATAGTTTTATCCCTCTTTCCATTTATTGTATGCTCTTATAAAGCAAGGGAGTACCCTCTTTTATGATTGTACCAACTCTTATACCCCGTTAGGAGTCCGTTGTTTCACTGCTTAGTATCAGTTTTCCCTCCCTGCCTCTCTGTCTCTTTCATAATTATGAATTTTCTAAATTGAAGCTTAACATTTGAAATGTGCATTTCAGAATTACATCAGATATGCAACACGTCAGAAGCATGCTGATACAAAGAAAGCCCTGAAAACCCTCCTCTTCAACAGTGGGTCCTCTAAAAATTTCTTTCAGAACATTCAGGTAGACTTGTCCTCTTGTTTTTGTATATAGTCTCGTTGAAGTCTATATATGAAACAACTTGGCAAAATTCCATTGTTGTACTCATTATTTTGAAACGAGGGTGTGCATCTATACATTGGAATGCCCTCTTTTTTGTTGCATTAAAATAAATTTTTTAATTTGTGTATGTGTTTCGTTTCTTTTATATTTCTCTGAGGATACTTGTGGCATTAAATTCTGATTGAATGCCCACCTTCCATTCAACTTGGATTTGGATATAGTTAAACATGATTTAAATGGAGCCATTTGAAAATTTATCTCAAAAGTAGTGACGAAAAAAACTAAAACATATCATGAATTCATGAATTCATGTATAGCTCCTAATTTTTCTAATGGCCTTGTGGATCCTTAATCGTTAAATATATATATTATTGATATGTAAGACATGATGGAGATGTCTCAATTCTATCAATTCCCCCTTGCACTTTAGAAATTCAGTTATCTAGTTCCTGGTATTAGAGTTCCCATCATGTCTCAGAGGCAGAAGCACGTAATATGGTGTTTTGCTGATTGTTTTTTATTTATAAATATGATTGTGTCTGCTTTTGATTAAAAAAAAAGTGCACTTAGTTTTTAATGTAGTGATGCATAGTTTGTTTTCACTGTCAGAATGAAAATGATTCAGGAAGCTCTCCTCAGAAACATAGGTCGAGATCTTCTCGACATGCTGTGAAGTCACACCACAAGAAAACAAAACGTGAGGTCTTCTTATTTGTCCTTTCTGAACCTATCCTTTTATGTATGTTTGTTTTCGATGCCCTACGTTTGCTGTACTTAATAGTTTGATTACTTTTACAATTTTGTCTAATAATCTGTACTTTCTTTTTTGATGTTTGGCCTGCATCTGAGCTATATGATTTGCTGATCCACTTTTTCTCATGCCAACAGTGGATTTCTTCATGATAAAAAGCTTGCTTTTAATGTTGTCTGGATGGTGGATATCTTGTGCAAGACTGGTCACCACCATGCTGTGACTTTAATGAATTTTATTGATGAAGTCTGTGTTCTCATTAAAATAAAATAAAGTAAAATAAAGGATTAGCGCTCATATTTTCTTTAATGCTTTAAAAGCTGGATGATCTTTTCATAAGTTCAGTGTAGAATTAATTGCATGGGCGGTTGTAAGAAACCCTTGCATGGTTATTGCACTTGATTAGAGTTATTCCTACTTAGAAAATTTGTGATTATACACTTAAATACTTTGAAAAGTACTCCCATTTCTGATGTGCTTCCCAACTATACAGAAAAAAAGGTGTGCTTTTTATTTCATTTTTAAAGCAAGCATATTATACAAGTGTAATTAATTTTAAAATGCTGTGTTAACTTGTGGCTGAATCCATCACTTTATTTGTAAGAAACTATGCTGAATAATCATTACCATAAAACCTTCCTATGTTGTAAACTAAAGTTATAGATCTTATCCATAAACCAAATAGTTTAAAATCCGAGGTGTGTCTCAAGTGTCATGTACCTGGTTAGGTATCAGATGCATTTCTGATTTTTGGAGGCACAATATGAATAACTGCAATCCCAAATGTAAATGTTTCTTGACGAACCCTTAGAACTTTATGAAGTTGCTAATATCTGTCAGAAGAATCTCTGAATCTGCTCTCATGTAAGATTTTTCAGAACTTTACGTATCTACTTATTTCATTGCAAAAAGTCAGAGATTCTATGTAGAAAGTTAAAACCCCCATGTGTTTTTCTGCTGGCTGGTAAAGGTTATGATTTGCCTCCATTAGATGCATCTTACAAACCTTCTGCTTCTCTTTCTGTCCTGTTCAGGCAAGTTCAAAAGAGAGAGTTTCTTCGAAGATGATGACAACAATCTTGAGTCTATCTTTCATGCGACATTTGGCAAGAAATGGTACTCCTGGTCTTTTGACTCGTGCCGTGACTCCTCTTTTAAAGATTCAGAATCCGGATTTGAGTGGACAGAGCAATCAAGCTGGAAAGATAAAAGTAAAAGATGGGAGAATAGTAGTGACGCGGAGTCTGATGATGAATCATGTACTATAGGATCTTATTCTGATAGAACAATTCTTGGTCTGCCTCCAACAGGTCCTTTAAAGACTGAAGATGTTAAAAAAGCGTAAGTTCTTCAGCGGGCCTATTTTCTCTCCAAATTTTTGAATGGAGTATATGAACGAAGTTCTTGTACTTTATTTTATATTTCACCGTTTTCTTTTGCAGTATTATTTAAACATATGAATCCTTCTGGCAGTTTCCATATATCAGCTTTAAAATGGCATCCTGACAAGCATGAAGGCAATTCACAGGTCAGTTCTTAATCTTTGGATCTTTGACTAATTTGAATTCTTTAATTCTCTCGAGTGTTGAGTGAGTTCAAAATATCATGTTTAGTTGTTAGTCATAGCCTATTCAACAGTGTGATTTTCCATTTTTGTGTGGGTAAGCAGCTTGATAGAGGCATCAAAAAGCTGTTTGTAAAAAGCTTTGACAAATATGGAATAAGTTTTTAAGGCAAATTACTCCCTTGAAAATTGTTAACATTTAATTATGAAGACAAAAATACGCATCCCTTAATTTGGTTTATTTGAATTGATAGTGACTTTGCACTTTTTTAGCTAGCCAGATAACACTGGTAAGTTTTATTTTAAAATAATTGTGAACTGGAACAGTATGCGTTGAAGAAAATGATGAATCTGCGAAGAAAAATCTTAACAGCAATCACATTGGCACAGAGATGATGAATGTCCAAATGTTCGATGTCAGGTAGGTCCTATATACACAATGGGAGCAAGTCAACTGAAGCATGACTTGACTTTTAACAAGTTTACAACTAAGCATAACAAATTCAAAACTCCTAGCTGTTTCCTAACAGTTTACAAATAACAAATAAATACATCTCCATTGGAGCTTATAGAGAATAATGGCAGTGTACCTACCCCCTTGTGCCCGAGTTTGATCCCCCTCTCTGGTAGATTAGAGTAATTTAGAGTAGTTTAAACTGTCGCTTATATAAAAATAAAAATAAATGAATAAAAACTTTTCCTAACATAAGCTAACTGAGGCTGTCCTATGAACGGAATCTGAGCTGGCTGTCAAGATGTTAATGCTGACTTGTCATTATCGCTGGCTCCAATCTGGCTTGCTTTGCTGAGTGTTGACTTAGTTGTATGCTGGTTTGTCTTGGTGCTCGGTCTTGCTGTTATGCACAATGACCTGTTTTGCTGCACGCCATTTGTTTAACTTCTTGTTGCTTCTCTGCTATTTGCACTAGTTGCACTTGGTTGCCATGAACATGATTTGTTTATCATATTATTATTAGGTCAGAGTTTTGTGATTTCTTTTCCATTGTTATATTCATAACTTCTGATAAGATATTTGTCCATCTTTGCAGGCAATGGCTGCAGAGAAATTTAAACTTTGTGTTAATGCTTACAAATCTCTGTGCAATGCACTATCCCCAGCGTAAGCCGGGGGGCTCAAAAGGTTCTGGTTTGAACATTAACAGCCCCCTCTGTACCGGTTCTCTATTCAAAAGGAAATCCTCATACAGATTTGACCCAGTACTGGACATGGTCTCCAGATCAAAGCGTTAGTCTACTTGAATAGTAATTTGATTAATATATTCAAATTTCATATGCATAAAGATTGTACTGAATCTATTGACAAATTTATAAAGAAAATTACAATTCTTTTAGAGATATTCCTTTTTTAGGGTAAACTTTTAGAGAAATTCTCATGATATTACTAATCAAGAATGGGTATATGATTGCAATTCCTGACTTCCCATAAATTTTTTTGTGAGTTTTACGTTAAATTCATAATTAAATATTCTTAAAATCAAGATTAGGAGAGTAGTTCATCCAATTCCAATTCCTTAATTCCTCTATTCATAACTTCCTTTGTTTCTAACAAGTAAACATGTCATTAGTGTTGTATCCATCCCCAAGGACCATCGCTCGGCCCTCAGTTGGTCACAATCTCAGACCCCAGCTAGTTACATTCACATCCCCATTTCACACAAATATTTCTCCATCGCTGTTCACACGTGATGTACTCGTCCATTTCAAAATTCAAATTCAAACAATATTATTAGAAAACTAAGAATGAACTTAACTGTGTTGTTGGTTGTAGTAGCAATACTGAAATAACTTCCAAACTGTACAGTATAAAGCTACTCGAAAGAAAATCTTCTTTGTTGGTCAAAGAAAGAAAATCAATCTTCCTCTGAACATCTTCGTTTGAAAGCATCCCACTTCTTTTTATACATTTTTTAAGAACAAAAAGCACTCAGATCCTAACTTGGTATGTAGAAAAAGATCACAGCAAAAAAGAAGAAACCTATAAAAGATAAAGAAAGATGATGAATGTAAATTATGAGGGCAAACTTGTGGCAATGGATAACAATTAGAATTCTAGAATTTAATCAAATTTGACAAAAGTTCTAAACTCTCCTCTCTAACATTTCACCTTAATCACAGGGAAAAAAAAAAAACCTAAAAACACAGGAGAACAACAGAGGAAGCCACCATGAAGCCATAAATGACAATCAAGAAGCCAAAATGCAAGGCCCAATTCCTCTTGAACTTACCAAAGTAACTCTCAGGAGGCTCTTGATAATGAATCTCAAACTCATTCTCAGAAACCCCATCAAAGTCCCCTCCACCGCCATTAGCGCTACTCAGCCTCATCTTCATCTCCCTCAGCTTCTCAGTGGCCAGCCCAAGTGTTAGCTTGTGGCAGCGCCTCTGGTACTTGAACCCATTGATGCAGCGCAGGGTCTGAGCAACTGCCACGTAGAAGATGAGGTGGGCCAGGGAGAGGAGGACGATTGGGACCCAGCAGTGGCGGCATTGAAGCCTCGAGGACTGGGCCTCGGCAAAGAAGATGAGGCTGAGGAAGATGAAGAACAGGATGAAGAGCTTGTGGAGCTCCTTCTTCTGGAGGTCTATGGACCTCTTCTTCTCGAGGGTCTTCTCGAAGTGAAGCTGGATGATGGTGTTTAGGGCTTGCAGAGCTGTCTCTTTTGGGATTGATGAGTGGTGGTGGGTTTCGTAGTCTGCCATTGATAGGCGGCTGGAGAGCTTTGCCTCTGACTCTGATGAGGTTGAGTTTTGGAGGCCATACAGTGCGTGAGTGAGTGAATTTAGTGAGTGCACCGAGTTTTGGCTCGGATCTCGAGCACTTTGTTTTTGTTTTTAATTTTTAGTATATTTACTTTTTTGGGAATGTACCTATTATTTTTATGAATAATAATATACCTATTATTTGTTATAGACAATAATTTACCTAGTATCTTTTACGTGTAACAGTCACTACTACATTTTAGTCTTTGCGCGACGAAGGGGTCTTCGTTGCGCAAAAATGATTTTAGTCTCACATAATTATGCGCGACAGATGTTTCGTCGCGCACAGTCCGTGGCGCAAAGTTCGTGAAGAAAGGATTTGCACGACGTATAAAGATCATTCGTCGCGCGATTTGCGCTACGTATAACAACTTCGTTTAAAAAAATATTTCGGGACGACCTCAGTGTTCGTCGCACAAATATTTGCGCGACGAAACAGTGGTCGTCGCAAAAAAACTGCGCGACGGAATTTTCCGTCGCGCGAGCTGCATGAATTTTGCACGACGAAATCATATTCGTTGCGCATACACATTTTGCGCAATGAAATTATTCGTCGCGCATGATTAAAATATAGGGAGTTTCACTAAAACACCCAAAATGGGGGTTGAAATTATAAAAAAACTCAAGCACTATTTAAACATATAAACACACCCAAAATCCATCATTATACACACTCAAAACCCATGTATAAACACACCCAAAAAGTTGACTTTGGGGTTGATTTTGGGTGTGTTTCTATGTTTAAATAGTGCTTGGGTTTTTTTATAAATACATGTCTAGGATTGGGTTTATTTATAAATTTGTATAAAATATATTTGTCGGCGTGTTATTTAAATGTTTTTGTGCGACGATTTACGTTTCGTCGCGCAAAAGCAATATATATTATTAAAAAAAATTTATTATTATTTGATTTTTAATTTTGTAAAAAAATAAAATTGGTTTGTTTTTTTTAATTAAAATGAAATTACAATAAAAAGATTAATCGTAAAGAAAACATCTATTATATAAAATAAAATAAATGTATACAAATTGTAAAAGTAATTATAAAAATAAAAAACTAATCAAATAATGTTCCAAAATCTACTTGGTCATCTGCCACATGCGGCTC